AACTTGAACACTAAGAAATAAGTTAACTCAAATGCTTTAACCGCATATATAAGAGATTTCGCGTATTGAAAGAATAATATAGTATTTTTTTTTAAACTTTATTAAAGAGACTTTTAGCCTTAGGCTAGTTCATCTCTAAATAATATAGTAATCGAGTACAACAAACTCAGGGGAATACAATACCTCCAAAAGTTTAAAGCTATTAATTGTCACATGTCTCTACTTTTACTTATTTCCTAAACTATTCCTCTCCTTGTTAATCAGCTTAATGCTATTGGTCTGCCTGCGTTTTCTTTTTAAAGTTCAAGACTAAATAAGAAGATTTATTCTACAACTTTAAAGGTTAGTTGCCTCCCTAAGCGGACCCCCCGCATAATAATTCTTTTGTTAATCTACTTAATGTCATTAGACTTTCTGAAGTTTCTTATTTAAGTTCATTTGATGATTATGATATCGCATTAGTCTAATTTAATAAATTATTGAAAGCTCTAATTCACCTAATCAATCATAACCCATGCTATATAAAGTACCTGCACTTGTGCTTGTAATCTAAAATTAAACGTGTTTCAAGTAATTTTGATTTTGACCTATACCTATTTATTATATCTTTGTTCGACCCAGGTCACCTTCAAGTGACTAAAATGCTTCATTTTGAAGTTAGTTTCCTAGCTGATTTTTAAATTATATAGGGTATATGCTCCAACTATGCTCACACGCTTCCACTATATCGCACCACAAAAATACGTATGGGTATGTCACAATAGAAGCACGCCACAGTGGAAATCCCGAGCCATAGTTCAAACACTTATCCCAAATCGAAATGAAGCACATATAAGATTAGTTTCAATACCATGTACAAAAATGATGTTTAACATTGTTTCCTGAGTAATACCTCAATGAAAACAACAATGAAAGCTTGTCACGCAAATAGAAGGAGCACCGTTGGGCACTTTCTGAAATATTTCAATAGTATAATTCCCTTGCAAACCCAAATAAATCTATCTGCGTAAAAATAAATAAAATAAGAGTGATTTGCGGCAAAACCCGCTAGTATCACACCCAACGTCCGTGCCTATACGTAAGCGTACTACGAAACGGCTCTCAATCGAAGGAGTAACAAGTGTGATACTATCACTGCTAGACTAGATCTTTGGTTCTATCATGCAGTGGTTTATCAGAGAGGGGAAGCTTAGTAATCCCCATTGCCTGCCCATGACGCCATTCTATCGCGGCATGAGCCAGCAACGCCGATCATAAACCCACCGTCTCCAACACTCCACTAGCATGAAATTAAGCCCGCCCATCAACAGCAAGGTGCAAAAACTAGCCAAGGGGAGGGAATATCAAAATGATATCAAATTATGTTTTTGAAATCATATTGATAACATATTTTGATAAACTGTTTTTTTAATTTCAGTTGAATTCATATTTTGATATTATTTTGATATTTCTAAAAAATATAATTAAAAACTAAATTTGATATTTTATGACAAGAGCATCCACATTTATCACTGAAATCTACTACTGAAAACTGTAAAAATCATAATTGTCTTTGTGATGTTCATAAAGAATACAGCAAGCATGCTGATTTGCTAACTGTTTTCTTCGTGAACATCACAAAGACAATTATGATTTTTTACAGTTATATTTTACAGCATTTTTTGATATTAATATAACTGCGAATTTAATTTAAAAATCGATATAAGATAGATATTGATAGAACTGATTGAAATATAGGTTTTTTTATTTCGAATAAATCTTATTGATAACATTTTCGATTTTGAATCTTGATATCAACCAATAGATTTCAAAACATTCAGATTACTAAATTTGATATCATGATATCAAAATAATAACTAATTTAGTTTATTTTATTTTTTGTTTTGCTACCATAGATTTTTTCCCTTGGTGAACTTCGTGAAATATCGCGAAACTTTCCAACACTGTCCTTGATATACCATATAGATCTCATTTTTTATGATTACTGTTAACTCGACCACACGGTAGGCAAAATACGTTATCACGAATGCTTATATCAAAATATCAAATTTAGTTTTCATTTTGTTTTCATTCTCTGCTCGAGCACTGACTTGACTAGAAGGTTTTCAAATTTTGTTATCATGAACGATTATATCAGAATATCAAAATTAGTTTTAACTTTGTTTTCATTTTATGCTGCTTCTTCGTAACATTTGCTTCTCCGCTGAGCATCGCTTGCTTCCTTTTCACTGCTTTTTTAGGCTTCCTGAGACGTCAAGTCCATTTCCACCACCCTACTCCCTACTATTATGTTGCTGTTCTACGTGCTGTTTTTTGTTCTTCCATAGGTTTTTCAATTTCTTGCTGCTTTCGGGCCTTCCGTTTGCCCCTCCAACTTGCATAAAAAACACAATTGTTGGTACCCTTATGTTTCCCTCCCGGTTGAGGAAATGCAGTTATGAAGGAGTTTTCTCCTGCACGTTTATATACACCGCGAACACCACTGTGCATGGCACAGGCCCCCAATTTCTTCTTCAGCTACACTTTCCTGCATTTTTGTAATACCAACACTAGAGCATTATCCGGGACATCCGGAAGCAATTCATACACTCGTTGTATTGAATGATGCCACCCACAGGTGATAAATGTATCATCACTGTCGTTCCATCTACAGAATGAAAAATTAATTCATCACTGTTGTTTCTTAATGTATAAAGCGCAGAGTCCACCGAGTATACAACTGCTGCTGCCTGTTATTTTGGCAACAGTTAAAAAAGCACTCAACTCCAATGATGGTTTGCTTGTTCAAATCAGCATTGGAACTACATATAACTTGTTGATATTAACCCTGTTTCCGCTCAGAGTGTTTTCGCAAAATCAATTTTAAAAACCAGTATCTCTGGATTGGCTTGAGATATTGACCTGGATTTTCTTCCGATAATAGAAGAACTAGAACAGACTATGTTATAATATTTTAACAAAAATCGGTTGTAATTTCAGAATGATATAGCTAACAATGTCAAAAAATACATGGTAATCCAGAGTAGCTATGGGCGGAAAAGAGTTAACATACAAATAAAGTACTTTATCTTGCCTCACCATACTCTACATAGATATATATTTTTTACCCTATCATAATATACATTGCATAGCGGAAAATGTTCAATCAACATGAAACATGTACACTCCAAAAATAAAGTGTAAAAGTATACATTTCTCTTACCATCCTGTATTCTGAGGGCATTAATCAGTGTTTGTAGGTATCGAAAAACCGGAACATTACATGGACGGATACAGTAATGAAATTCGCATGTGCAGAGAACACATAACATTGCAACAATGACGGGTATCAAATACAAGCTGGCTATCAGTTTTACGTTCATGCATCAAGTGACACAGTAGATCAAAAATACATTACGATTCGTACCGTACTCTGGTTACGGAATGCCATATACAGATTTACGACAGACGCTATCATGGTTAGCATCCAGTTCTTTGCTTACCATACTCAGCTAATATTGAACCACGACCGAGGATCTGGTTGAAATGACGAGTCATTGACTTTTATCTATGATGATGATGGAGAACGCATGGCAGTGTGTCCTCCTCGTTTTGAATGAATGAAGGTTATGCGTTTTCCATGTACTTCGTTGATGCAATTTGAATAAATGAGTTTATTGGTTTAACGTAAATAAGTCTATAGCTGCGAAACACTGTCTTGTATTTTAGAAAAACAACAATATTCGATCAGAGTTGAAAAAACTCTTATATTCGACATTAAATTTGTCACACGGAAGCATGCGTTGAATTAAATAATGTCAGTTAGGTTTGGTATAATTTTAAAAGCGCAAATGCCAGTGAAAATAGCTCAAGTTGTGTGCAGTAAGCGTGGCTCATAAGGTTGAGCCTGTTGATCAATGTCCACATGACATTCTCTGAGGAGATATATCAACATAAGCATGTCATGAGTCAAATTGCTACACTTAACAAACAGGTTTAAACATTACAAATTCACACACTCAATCCGCTCCTAGTCATAGAATGATTGATTTAAAGCCTCCAGCAAACTCATAAAAGATGCATCATCTCACCAAGCCGCGCGGAACAAAAGGTTCAGCATCACACATTCCTATTATTCCGTGCCTGGATCAAATTCCTGAACGCCCCAGACCGGTACCGGAGGTATGAGTAGGTAAGTTGCCTATTCTGTGCAGGCTACCACACATAATAGAACACTGCTCCAAAACGCTCATACATAATGGATAGAATGGCATTGAATATAAATGTTCTCCCGAAGAATCAGTCCATGTCTCACCGACGCTGGCAAAGTAAAAGTTTTCACCACAGTGAGGAGCCAATACCTCACTTGGATCCTAACCGAGTAAGGTTTTCAATAGTTTCGATGATTTTTTTCAAACAGTTTGCGGTTTTGAAGATTGCAAACAAATGTGGTATGATGAGGACGGAATAACTTTTTCAATCACGCCGGGCAAATCGAAAAACTATGCCATGAGGAAAACTCCACTGAGGCTATAACATAACGTGCATGGAATGAATCTCCGCCGAAATCGATCGAGCATTAAATTTCCAGGCACAAATTTACGCACTAAGCAGAAACGTTGCTGCTGGCGTTTATTGCAAATCACCCCTAATAAATAATAATACCTCCGGGCAGAGGGTTAGAGATCAGGATGGTAGGTGCTATCGAAAGTTATTTATCGGAGCTGTGAGTTCGGTATATGCATGGATGGGTGCAGACACTTGCTTCATGAGCGGTATCGATAGCGTTAGCCATTATTAAGAACAGTAGGTAGGAATGTGAGAATTTTGTCCATGAAAATCAAAAAATTCAGATGACTAAATCTCTTTCAATAATGGACTGCAACCACTTCAGAAACTTCACATATCAAACTTGTATAATTCCACTGTGCACAGGTGTGCAACTACAGACACACTCCAGGCTCCAACCCACAATGGAAAGATCTCCACGACAAACAAGACCGAAGAAAATAACCACTTACCTGGAACCCGTGGAAGATTTGCCAAGAAAATCTCCTTCAGCAGCATTAATTCATCTTCCGGTGCGGATGCCAACGATCCAAAACAATCATCCTCGGGCCAAACTTCCCTGCAAATGAAAGTGGTCAAAAAAAAAATAGAAGAAAATTGAGAGCAAAAAAAATGTATGTGTGCTTAGGGATGTTGGAATAAAAATGTGCGCGAACGGCAATGTTAAATGGAGAGAAAGGTCAGACAGGTAGAATTATGCCTATTCTGCAAGTACCGCACTGGGCGGCCACTGCCGGGGTGCGATTTGAATTATTTGATCGTAAATTAGATTTATTAATATTCATTATTCAATATATTTTCACGGCGTAGCGGTAATCCGCAGCTACAGTGGATCACATTTTCAATGCTAGAGCATACAATTCCACAGTTGGTGTTTTCCATGGAATCAAACGAATTTTAGAACTCGTAAATGGAAAGAACCACGTAAAAAAGCATGGAAATCCTGTGTTATGCAGTGACCAATTCTGATTGGAATAATTTTTGCTCCTTTGTAAACATCATAATAACCGTGTGTCAGGGTTTAATTGTTTCAGTCCAAATTTTTTTCTTTGAGTTATTTCAAAGAGCTTTTAACACTTTTTGTTTGAATTCTATGATCGAAGTAAATAAATACATACATTTTCAGAAAGAAATTCTTTTGGTATGACCTAGGATGTCCCAATTATTCTGGAGTTTTGATCTTCATATTTGCAGGTTCAATGTATAGGATATGTTATCGAAATTCGTAAGGCTTAAACACATCATATGGAAATCAACACGGCTTATACATTAAACCTGTTCGTTTGTTCCGCGGCATAACTTATGAAAGGGCTTGCAATCTTAAGGATGGGAGTTCGACGTTATCCCCTTACTTCGGTGTGAACTTTTTTTTAATCAATTTCTGTGGCTATTTAGTGTCTAATAATCTTCAGTAGCGAGTTGATAGTTATTTAAAGCAGGTGAGATGTAGTGAAGAGACCACAGAATATGGAGAAGCAGTAAATTATATTCCAACAATCCTGTAAAAAGGCAGAACATACTACCGAAATTATTAGCATATTCTACACGTGCCACATCTGCATAAACTTAAATACTGAAGTGTGGTAACGTAGGTGTGGGAGACAAAAGTAAGAATAAGGTGAGTTGAGGTGAGATGAATTTAGGTAAAATAATGAGAGAGGATGAGAGGTGACGTGAGTTGAGTTGAAATGAGATCATATGAAAGTGCGATGAGGTGAGGTGAGAAGAATTGAGGAGAGGTGAAGTGAGATGGGGTGAGGTGTGGTGAGGTGGGGTGAGGTGAGGTAAGGTGAGGTGCGGAGAAGTGAGGTGAGATAAGGTGAGATGAGATGAGATGAGATGAGATGAGATGAGATGAGATGAGATAAGATGAGATGTGCTGAGAATGTGATGAAAGGTGATTTTAGATTAGGTAAGGTGAGATTAGATGAATTTAAGTGAATTGAAGTGAAGTGATATGAAGTGAGGTAAGTTGAGTAGAGGGTAAGATGAGGTATGGTATGTTGAGGTGAGGGGATGTAAAGAGTGTTTAGGTGAGGTGAGATGAGAAGAAAGTGAGATAAAGTAAGGTGGGACGAATTAAGGTAAGGTAAGGTGAGGTGAGGTGACAAGTAAATTAAGGGGGAATAGATAGGGGAAATGTATGTAATGTCAGCCTAAATGCCCCTAACTTGGGGCCATACATAAATTCAGTAATGGACTAAATTTTCAATAGCTACCAAAAATATCCTTTAGTACCGTCCCAATGACACGTTCATGTAGATACAATTGATAAATAGCAGATTTTTAGAAATGGGCGAAATCTTAGATCCATAGGCCAATTTGATTGAGGGGTATAGTGGTTTTGACGACGAAATATGAAGGAGAAAAGTCAAAGACAGTCGTTTTAAAACGCAATAGAGTTCGGTTCGAAATAGCTTAAAAGATTTGCAATATTGGTACGCTGGTAAAATCGTCAAGCGTGAAGTAAGGGGCACGGTAGATCAAAAAATGTGAATGTTTTATGGATTCTGTTCCCAACTTAGGCTGCGGCCAGAGTAGACTCGACCAATTCAAGAGTATCTTATTATTTATTATTATTTCTTGCGTGAGTCCCATCGCGTCGCGTCGCGTGTCACGTCTACTCTGGCCGCGGCCTTACGTAGGGAACAAATCGAAACAGCGAGATAGAGGTAGAGGTAGAATTTGATGAAGGCATGAGCGCTTTATCGTAGCTGTTTTTTGTCTCCAGGTTTGAAAGATCATCGGTGGTAGAGGCTTGTTCTTGTGTAGAGGGCACCGCTGTGGAGTTTGAGTTGGAATAAGTCCCAGGTCCTATTATATTATTATTATATATCCAATGATAAATATTTAAAACAGGATCAAAACACAACTGGAAGAAGCAACGTAACTTTTTTTGATTTTCTCTCATGTATGTTTAACGTTTACATGACAGTGCAATTAACCATTTTATGTTTCCTTTCCAGGAGAGAAAATTACATTACTTGTTGATATATTTATTTGTATACTTGTAAATAATTATTTAATCAGATTCGGAATATGAGTGATGAGGGAGCTTATTGTGTTTGCGAGTCCTCCGTTCAGACTGGATTTACTGATTTAAATCTTTAAGTTTATTTTAAGCTCTGCGATGATGGAACATTTTTAGAATAATATTATAATGGTTCACTTTTTTCAGCCTTCGTTCAGGAAAATACAAAAACATTGTGATGCATGATAACAACTGTTAACTGTCCAAATAACCTCGATTTTTCTGACTATCGATTCATTATTAAACTTTACCAATATTTTTAAAAGCATTCCATATTGCGTTAAACTATTCCATGGTGCATAATAAAATGTTATTGAAACAATAACGCTAATAATCGATTTTGAGTTGATATTTTTCAATTTCCATTTTAAATTATTTTATACATAGTATTATTAAATTTTGTATATAACGCTGAGTTGAATAAACATCATTTTTATCCGAAAGAGAGGAGCCAGCTCAATGAGGGATGGTTTGTTTTCTTTGTCTTCTTTTTTTATCCCCTACCCGATCGTGTTGTTGGTTTGCGAAGGCAAGCCTGGGCCGCACGAAAAAAGTTGTTTTCAAAAGACACAAGGTGCCTTTCCTAACAAAGACATCATATAGTTGTTATCAAACGAAACAAGCCGAAACCGCATTTCCTTTCGAACTTCGGACGTGTTCATATCGATCACCCACGATATGCGGACCGGTGGATAGGCTCCCGCAAGCAGCTTGCACCCAGGCGCTCTACAAGAGCGCTCTAGCCAGAGAAGTAGTGAAGAAATCACACCGTCACTGTGCAGTTGCTCATCGTGAGAAACATCACTGTGGGCCACCGCCATCAAGCGCCTTATCGGCATGACGAAGAACATCAAACTAACTCACCATAGCTGTGAAGAAAGTGCCTAAAGATCTCAGAATTTCCCAACCACGAGAAAGATCGAACCCGCCGCTACCAGAAGAATACGAACCTGTGTGTAATCCACTCTAAATGTGTCATCATCATCTCAGAAGACCAGCCGTTGCTAGTATTATCAGCCTTCTACACTTAAGTGTAGCTAATAGCGAATTTGTTTATTATCCAGGTTGGAACCAGTTCCAACCCGTGCGAACCTTAACCCGAGCCAGGTTGCAAAAATAATCTTGATTCCCTATCCAGGTTGGAACTGAATCAAAAACAAATTCGCTATAAACCAAAGGGCCCTTGTCAAGGCCATCCAATTTTTTTTGCAAAAGAGTTAATTTAAAATTGATTCTAACGTCCGTTTACCTCGCTGCCAGACATACCATGTCATCACGCCCAACGCTCGTAGGTAGTTAACCGAGGACCGAAACATTTGTGAGCAAATACCTCCAATGAACCAGAAGTAGTAGTAACATTACGTTTATTTCCATTGACTATGCTTTTGACGTATGGCTGTCTTTCTTTACTATATTGGGGGTCACATTAGAAATCGGAAATGAGCCATGTAACGAAAAGTTTATAATATTTCTCCATTTATAGCCAATAATGGAAAATATTTCATTCGACGGAGAATACATCCAGCAATTTTGACGTAGGACAACGTCTGTGATTTCTATATGGGGGTACACGTTACGAAAACCCAAAATGAAACATGTAATAACATTATGAAATTTTGAACAGTTACAAGTCTGTCCATAGTGGATGGATTTTAATTCTAAACAAGCTAATCGATTGGAAAGTCATATACAAATCTGTTAAAATGAACACTTTATCAATTTTCAACAGGTCACTAATGAAAATGAAACGAATGTGCAACTGTTGCTATCATAATTAAAATAATCACCGATTACCTGCGAAAAGCGCTTTCCCTAACACAGATTTAAAAATTGATTTCACTCCGGTCTTGCCAAACGGTGTTTATTCAATCACCACGTGTGGTGAGTGGTGGTGTCCGGTCGTCATCAGCAGCAGCAGCAGTGCTTTCGGCGCTTGGCGTTTTCCAGTACATAATGAAAGCCTTCACGCATGCAGCTAGCTGCATGCTCTCGATTCAGCCCTCGATTCACCGAAAAAAGAGGAAGAAGCCGCACCGCTACTGATCGGATTCAGTTGCACGTCGTGCGCCACAGTGGGCCATCTATGCCAAGTACGTCACCCTCGTTCCAAACAACATACAGCTCGCCAGCTTTATCTGTGTTGAACACCCCAATAGTAGCTCAGCATTACCCAACCATCACGACATAACGATCCTTTCCAGGACCACCATAAATTTGTTAAAGAGCTCCTTCTGCAGTTAACAAATAACATTTTTCATATAAGCCCACGTAGTCCTACGTCACCATTGCGTACAACCCCATAGGGCTGTCCCTTGTAGTTTTTTTTATTTATGTATAGTACAAATAGTGAAAAAAGAACAATAGAACAACTAAGAAATTCAACGAATAAAATATGAATATGTCGCGTACTAATCAGAAGTGTGAACGGATGGGATGAATCTATATTCTCTAGCACGGACATCACTTTTTAACTCATGTGTAAATTTGCCTCCTTCAGCGCTTTCTGGCAAGATGTAATTGGAGCTCGG